AATATCTAATATCCAGAATTTTTGATATCTTTTAAAATGACCATTTATTAATGTTGAATAAAATAATATAATTTTTCATTCAGTATTTTGTGTGGCTATATTATTAAATATATGAGCATTTCAGTAAGTGGCATTACTACATCCAGTGAACTCAAGCAAGCAAATATTTGCAATGAGTCCTAAAAATTGCTTAGATTTTTAACCATATGTTAACATAAAAAATGTTTACTACCATACTATACATATAATATCTAGTTTTCCCATGGGGGCAATCTGGAATAGCTCAGATATACATTAATCTGCTACTGCATCAGCACATATTATCAGGCACAACCAAGATTTTCCTACGGGGGAGTAGTGTGGTGTCCCAATGACTGGATATTTTATTAGCAAAAATTCTACTTTATGCTGACTTTAAAAGCAATGTTTATTTGTTCATTTATTATAATAATGTATGCAAGTGAGATATTGAATGATTTTCATTAGTATTGAATATGTATAGTAATATATAGTAAATAGCTAATTGTGTATGTCTGTCATCAGCTTGTAGGAGGGTCCCCTTCATGAGCCTCCCTCCATCAGTGGGCACCTGAATCTTATTAAATAAAACAAAAGCTACTTCTAAATTTTATTATTCCTGCTCATATATTAAAAAGACAACCAACTATTCTTTCCAAAATCAACATTCCTTGCCATGTCATCAATATGGGCATTCGTATCTTTAGAAATCTATTTAAGCCCTTATAGCTACTGCCCCTCTCTCCTAAGCTGGGCCATTACTTATATCCTTGATTTCTCTGTGCTTTCAAACTCAGAATTTTCCTACAAACTGTAATGTAGCTGTTAGGTCTTGGAAATTTTAAGTTTCTTGCCAATCCTCAAAGATTAGAAAATCATTCGGAATAATTTATTCCCGACAAGTTCATAAATTATTGAAGTTGAAAATGTTAAAAACACTCATTCTCACATGCATACTTTTTTTCATATCCAAGTTATTAAAGGAAATTAATAGGAAGAATTTTCACAAACTCAAGCCTTTGCACTAAAACAAAAAGGTGTACCCTCTCAACCTGGTAACTGAAAGTTTTGTTGGCTGATATGTTTACAGCATATATCCTGTCATTCCCATTGTTTAGTCCCATGAACAAATTTTGCATTCTGTTAAAATATTCATTCTTACAATGTTTGCTCAAATCATAACAAAAAAAAACATTTAGCAATTAATTTGTCACTCGTATCTAGTTATGCCTGTCTTTCACTTTCTAGCAATTACACATCTCAGTAATAATTGATAAAATTAAAATTAAAAAAGATGTTCCTTAGAAAAATCTTATCTTGGCAGTTCTGGTTCAGTTAACAACCAGATAAAAATTATTGTACTACATCATATTTTTCTTTTCTTCTTTTAAATATTATACTTTACAAAAATATCTTAAAGTGAATTACAGTTTCAACTAAGAAATGAACATTTAATAATACTAAAAGGAATATTTAAAAACCCTTGACAGGTGGCTCAGTAAATCAGAAAGAAAAAAGCAACATTGAAGTGCTGTTAGTTTCATAAAATTATTTACATAATTTAGAAGAGTAACATTTAAAAAATGAAATACACAGGCAAGACAGATAATCGAATACATTCTGTCTTCTATTACATGACCAAAATTAATATTGTATTTTTTTCTGTCTATGATGATTAGTTTCCCTTTATGACAGACAATTCCTAACATATATTTCTCCTGATGTATATTTAATAAACAACTACTTAGATGCCAAAAGTTTAGATGACAATTGGACGGCAAAAGTCTGAGCAAATATTTTGTTATCAAACAGTTATGAAAAAGAATGCCTAGAACATTATCTCCAAATCAGCAATGGCATAAATTCAATTGCTTCGTAACAGTTACAGTAGACAGATCTGGAGCATAATGAATTGAATGAATCGTAAGTAAAATTGTGAAAATATTTTGTGAAAACTGAAAACATGTCTGTGAGAGCACTTTCTCACAGATAAACAACTTTCAACAAAGTGAATAAATTCATATTTTTATTTTAAGACCCACAAAACACATAGAAGCATTAGAATTAATTGTAAATTAGTATTTGGAAGTAGTGTGCACAATGAATATATAAAAAATTAAATTATCCAACCAGGAAGACAATGTCTATGCTTTATCATGCCCCAATTAAGGTGAAGACAATGATGAAATTCATGTAACTGCAATTCACCTTAGTGGATATTTGACTCTAGCTTCCCCATTGAAAGTATTTTGGTTTCTCACCTCCTAGGTGGGCCAAATACCGCGTCGAAAATCGCTGATTTTTAGACAGAAAAACTTGTGTTGTAGGACTCTACCAATATAACAGTAAATAAATCTTGTTCCCATATGTAGAAAATTACTTCCTATAACACACAGTCAGTGGGTCCTTGATACCAAAAAAACAACTGACGGCAAAATGTCTGTTCGTCTGTCCGTGGTCAAGGTTAGCGGTTAAATCATTTGGATGATTTTTTTCAAAATGTATATTCCCCGATCGATCTGAACGAACTTTGGCCCCTGCGAGTTTGAAATGGATACGGTATTTTGATTTTGAGGAGTACTTTACTTGAAGCCTAAACATTTTCAAAATTGTCTCAAAAATGACTCCAATTTTTTTAATCAACTTTGTCCTCCTTGCAGCGTAAAGGTTGCGTAAAAATGGCATAGGTTTTATTTTGTTTAAATAAGTTTTGTTTTAATAATAAAATTTCTTAATTTTTAAAAATTGCAAATGTTCAAATTTTTTGGATGTCTTCCTACAACTACAATATTGAAGATGGATAAAACTGTGGAATAGTGAAAATGGATGGTGCACTGGTTTTCTCGAACTGCCTGGTTTCATTCAAACTTTATGTAAAGAGGTCAAGAGAGTGACGACTTATTATAAAGCATGAGATAGAAAGTGTTCTCTGTTAGCTTGCCTTAGGGGACATTTCTATAAAGTAATCATTTACTTGGGGAATGAATATGTAACTTGAAGAAATGCAATTATAATAAATATTTTCCAGAATGCTTTACTATTGAACTATCATTATGCAAGAGTTTGTATATATGATTAATTTATCAAACTGAAACAACAAATAATAGTAATACAATTGACCAGTGAATTTGCTTGAAAATCTTCACTCAAAATTTGATTAACTTTTAGAAAACAAAAAACATATCATTCACTACATCTTCTTGAAGAGAAAAATATTTTTTTTACCTCTATTGTGTTGTAATTTCTAGGCAACTCACAGGGTCTACTGACTTGCAGTATTTTTTCTGGATTATTTTAATGTACAATGTCATGAATACTTGTTCGGTTTTTGCATTACCCCACAGCTTTTCAAGTAAACTTAATTTTCTATAGAAGTTTATTTCAATGTCATTAACATCGGTTGGGTAATCACTCCCATTACTATCATTGTCCAGCACACCATCATCCATTCTTTTTCCCAAGTAGTTAAACATATGATAATATAAAAATAAGAAATGTCACATGACCACATACATGGTGAAACTACTCAAGGGTTACTGAACAACTGAGTAGTGAAAGGAGAGGAACTTTTCATACTTCTCTGTGTAAGATTGAACTAGTGATGCTACAGAATGGCACAGACTTTCCCATATTAGTTTTCTATTTACTTTGGTCTTGACAAGCTATTCGGACTTGCCACATGCTCTTGCCAGCTGCCATCTATTGCCCAGACGGACGGACGAACAGACGGACGGACGAACAGACGGACGGACGAACAGACGGGCGGACGGACAGACGGGCGGACGGACAGACGGGCGGACGGACAGACGGGCGGACGGACGGACGGACAGATGGATGGATGGATGGACAGACGTTTTGAAAAAAAAAACAACACATTTTAGGTATCAGTAGACCCCAATACGTGTATTTCCGTTGAAATCTCGAAATCGATTTTCCGCAGCATTACATAAATTTCTCTATACTATGTATAATAATCAGTATATACGTACGTATACGGGAAAGTAAAACGTTTATAGGGGCTCATTCTCAATACCGCAAAATAGGAAGTTTATTGCAATAAGCCTGGATGAAAGCAGGCTGACTAGGAAATCAGGGCATATTCTCTAATTTATCTGAAGGGGTCTGAGAATGCTTATTGCAATCATTCTGAAAAATATCAGTCTAAATGGAAAAAGCTATAGAATTTTCCAGTTCACCTGACTTTGCAAGATGCATGATGGCACTTTTTGCAATAAGAAAAAATTTCATTAGCCAATGACAAATATTTCTGCAAGAAATCTCAGGGCAAACTTATTCTGCAAGAGTTTAAGATGTATTCTAAATGAATACATCTTAAACTTTAAACCTCGAGTCTCCCATTAAAAACAATAGTATTACAATGAAAGTTATGTCAAAACATTACTATCGTCTATCATTACTAAACATTTTTTTCATACTATAATTGTGAAATATTAAATGGGTTTCAATTGCACAAGGCATTAATCACTGTGACTGGGAATCAAATGAGTACTTAATTACAGTTTACACGCCCTTGTATATGCTTGTGGTATACAGGGTGTGTAATGCCTACATGGTATACATCAAAAGTAATATTAAATTACTGATACAAATTAACAAATACAAATCTATATTTTTAATACATGAATAGAGTGGAAGGAATGATGAAAAAGAATGTTACCCAAGAATAACAGAATCAAATAAAATATTAAGATTTCAAGATGCCTTCTGGTATCAACTGAAAGTGGTAATTAGATTGAAACTATCAGTTCATGGAGCTTATGAACAAATATTAAATAAAGACAATCCTGAAAATAAATATAGTAAAAATATCTCACTATTTCTTCAGCACCTTGCAGTAGATATTGTTCTCATAAGTACTTCAGAACAATGCAAAATTTTCTAGATGTACAAGAATCAATGTAATATCTTAATCTACATCTGTTAATCTAGTTAATCTAATAAGAAGATGGTTTAAAACTTACCTTCACCATTTCTGTACTCCAATGTATCACAGTCACTGGGTTGTTTCTTATTGCACTCATCGCTTCCACGACTGCAAATTATGTATACAATTAAAAGGATTTTAAAATCCATTAACAGTTTGTCATTTTACAAGCTAAATTGGGAATTTTCCATCATTAACTGAATATATCATGAGATTAAATGAGTATTTACAATTGCTTTAATATCATCTTCACAATCTTGTTCATTATATTTTGCAAGGCCCAATTCAGCAAAGAGACTGATTTTTCTCTAACCCACTTTATATTCAGCTTAAGAGTGTTTTTATTCCCATTACAAAACAAAATAAGAATGTCCAATTTACAGAAAGAAGTAGTAAATGAAAGAAACATTTTCAAACCAATGAAAACATGTCTGTTTAGACCCCCTGGGAGGGTGAACGAAATTTTGAAGGGGGTCAATGATGATTAAGGTGTCAATTGGGGGGTCAACAGCAGAATATGAACCAGTGCCTGATCAGGATAATCAAAATCACATTGATTACCAAAAAAAATATTATTGAACTTAATAAACTTTTTTCTGATATAAAGCAACAAAGCATTTGATAATAAATTACAAATTCGTTCGTATCCTTGTATATCCATCGTTAATCCTTAGGAATGAGATGTTTAAAAAATTCAAGATATTATAACTCTTCATTAATGATACTCTATCATGCAAGAAAGTACTCTTTGCACCGTAAATACACACACACAAAGTAAAGACGCACTGAAGAAATGTAACAGTCAGTTCTTAAAAAACACTTAACATTTTGTAACCATTACATTTCAATGAAGATTAGAAACTTTGTGATATCTACTAGAATACTAGTGTACAAAATTGTTATCTTTAATGCATTTACATGCAATTCATTGTCACGATTATGGATGTATATTAAAGAGAAACATCAAGGGTTGATGAAGCAAACAATTCATTTAACAATTCATTTAATAGTGTTTGAAGAAAGAAAAAGATTGGAAATCCCTGCCCTATACTATACAAAAACTACTGAAGTAGTAATTCAATGCATAGTTTCAAGACTATTAAACCTGGTATTAGGTTTCACAAATCCACAAGTTCAGCAAAAACGAGAAATTTCCATGTAACCTTTGTTTTTCTCTAAACATGGATTATATGGAAATTTCACAGAATAAGTTCATATATCAATAGAATTGGAAATTAATGTTTGGTAATATGCATTGAACTATGAACAATCCTACTAGTTTTAATAATAATTATTAGGAACATTTATTTATTTATAGACAACACAAAAAATATTGAAGGAAATGAGTACCGTATGTCACAAATCATGCACAAACTGAATGATTACCTTCTTAAGAAAACAACAGCAATTATAATAACGATGACCAGGAAGACAACAACTCCGACTGTAGCACCAGCTATCAGTCTCACTTGCATGTCAGTATTGCCAAAGTGTTCTGCAAAAGAAAAGGTAATGATTATAACAGTTTTCTATTAATAAATACACATATGGATATGAAAATGTATAGCATTTAATTTACACAGCTATATTACTAACCATATCTTTAAAAGAAAATCGTTCTAATAATTTTATGAAACAAGCATAAATCCATGAAGTATGAAAAATTTCCAAATTCAATTAGAAACTTATGCATCCACTAATAAAATAAATGTCTGCATTAATAAACCATTATTCTTACAAACTAATCCAAGAAAATGTTCAGTACTTCCCCCCTCCCCCATGTGCACATGAGTACAAAACGTTAGGTTTTTTTTTCTTGTTTACAAAAATAAATCCATAAAAAAAGGAGTCTAGCAATTTCTAATATTTTACAAACATTCTTCTGCTAAATCCTAATGCGTGAATTATTTCAGACATCATTGTACACTGGGTCATACACTGCTTTTTGATTTTAGTCATTTTGCTGTAAGCCACTGTCAGTTTATTTCGTTTCCACCACACAATTGCATCTATTATTTTGCATTTTTACAATTTCCTGTGTACGAGAGCCAAGACATTTTTAATTGGGTTCATACTTGGACTATGTTGACTATGGTATCACCAAAAAATATTTAGTGACTTTCTTTCCATACGTTTATGGTAAATGCTTGTGAGAGCACTAGGGAGTTTCCCCAAATCACTCAAAGATGAGTTTCATTAAACCAGCCAAAAAAGGCTAATTTATTGATAATGGCTTTCAATTATCAATCTTGATGCACGATATTAAATTTTAACCCCTGAAAGATTGAAATATTCTCTTCATACTAGTCTAGATTAAAACAGAAAGAGAAAGGTTGTAAAAAAGAGAAAAGTGGAGAATGAAATGGAAGAAGTATTATACGGAAGAACAGTATTGATAAGCATTAGGGAAGAAATAAGGTTAATAGGAAGCAAATGAATTACATAGTTGTTTAAGGACTATTGGACACAGGAAATAATGAATAATTAGTAAATAAACTTGAGCAAAAAAAAAAGATAAATGGGTAAATACGGAATATGAAAATAAGCTGAAATTGATTTTTAAGGACCATTGTAGTTAATAGTAAGATAAAGATAAAATTGTAAATGAGATTAGGATGGATACAAAAATATATAGAAAATATAAATAACAGGAGAATAAAAAGTAATTACTTGTAAAGATTCACATTCTAGATTTTAAATTAGTAATTACTCCATATTTAGATAGTTAGCTACATTATTTTGAATGTGTTGAAACCAGAACACAAAACTAAATTTTTTGTTCATAAATATGAAGTCTTACCTAGAACTTGCCCAGTCTTCTTTGAGACAACTTTACTGTACTCTCCCCAGCCATGCTGTGTTTTTGCTCTCACTTGAAAGCTATAATCAGTGTTTTGGCGAAGTCCAGTAAATGTGTATTTTTGTTTTTGAGTCCTAGCTATTATGGGATTTGAACTGTTGCTTGTTGGAAAACCACGCACCTAAAGAAATAATAATTTCAATAATAAATTAATAATTTCTTGAAAAAGTATGAGACAAAAAGAAATGAAATTAACAATATTAGATTTATAGCGAGGTCATACCTCGTACACTTCCACAACTTCACTTTCAACTTCTGGATCATCCCCAATAACTGGAGCATCCCACTCAAGAGTAATTTCTGTAGATTTCACATTAGTAATATTAACTTTAGTGATAGTTGATGGCACTGAAGCTTCAGTTGTTACAGTCACATCAACTGACTGACTTTGCCCAGATAATTCTGAGACACCATTTTCAGCAAATACTTGACACTGATATGTCGTTACTGGATTCAAACCAGAGATTCTAACTTCTGTACTGTTAAATACAACCTATAACAAAGAAAATCATTTTCATGATTTGTATGTAAATCTATTAGTTTACAGGATATGTAACAGTGTTAGTACAAATGAACTTAGTAAGCACAACCCCTTTCACCAAAATTAAACCTTTAAAGCATTACCAAACAAGTATCTTTATGAAAACATGATCAAGAATAAATCTATTTCCAGCTAAGTTACATGTTAACTTCATTTTTCCACAAACAACTTAAAAATAATCGCTATCATGGAATTTCATTTTATAGAAATTAGTTAAAAATGCACAATATTTCATAACCACTTACAGTCTTAGGAGAATATATAACGCCAGATGCACTAGTATTACACTTCACTCTATATACAGTATCATTACGACCACCAAGAAAATGAGGGGGTTGCCAAGACAACATCACAGTAGACTGATCCACAAAATTTACAGTAAGATTCCTTGGAGCAGAAGGTGGTTCTGAAAACAAGAAAGTCTCTTTCAGTTATTATGAACATAAACCACTAACCCAACGGGCTTCTCCAATAACTACTAATAAACCACTAACCCAACTCTTCTCTAATACAATAACGTATACAAAATATTCACTGCAAGGAAGTTTACCCCTCCTATCTTTCAAAATTGAATTACGTATCTTCTTTCTCCGCCCTATATTTTCATAAATATATTTATTTCTCAAATTTCCTCAAATACTTTTATGTTAATAATCTTACATTATTCTATTATGATAAGATACACAGGACTTGCATATCTTACTTCCTCAAAAACCTGATGATGACTTATTTACCTGAATTGTCATGATGTATCTGAAACAATTATTATTTGCAACATCCCCTTTTGTAAAGAGACTTAGAGATATTAAAAAGATTTTGAATCAGTTGATATACAAAATTAAATTATTGATTTATCAGTAGTGCACATTTTTAAAGGCAGTGAAAAATCTAAAAGTCAGTAATGTTATTTCTTTTATTTTTTAAGACACTTACGAGTACATGGCATATTTTTTGGATCCTTTGGAGCCCGATAATATTGTGCATTACAACGGCATTCAGCAAATCCAGATTCAAGAGCTTTGCTGTGATTGGGACAGGGTTGACACCTTTCATCTCCTGTGTTGTGTTTAAATGTTCCCGCAGGGCAAACTGCAATAGTAATAAACAATAAAAAACACATAATTACTTTTTATATACAAATAATATTAATGAAAAGCAATGATAACAATGACTATATAAACACTCTGGCTTGAATTTATCATAACAATAAAAATGAGTATTCGAATAAAACCATTTCATACCATTGCAAGTTTGTTTATCTTCATCTGCTTCATAGCCAGCTTTACACTTACACCCTCCAGAGGGTAAATACCATTTACCATCCCCTTTGCAGAGGTAGGTGGGTGGCTCAACTTCTTCAGCATTATCTACACACTTTCCTGTTGCCTGTTCAATGAAAGTGACTTCACGACCAGTAGGAGTAGTGGGGAAGTGTGCAAAATTTACAGTCACTTCAGGACATGTTATATAATAAACCTGAAACGAAGATTGTATTAAGAAACATCTATGACTCTCTTAAATAAATTTGAATGCAAGACTGAGAATTTTTTTAATCTCTAGAAAATAATATTAAATATACCTTTATAGCCAAGAGAGATATGCAGGCACCTTGGTCACGAAATGCAAAATATACTCCTTTCTTTGTAACTGGAATGGACTTGATTTCAGTATTAATTGTGACTTCACTATTTGTATTGAATCGCCCTTCCCCAGCTGCTATTCGACCTAAAACACACACATAAAAAAATTGAAAAAATAAATATTTAGAACCCTAACTCATTTTTTTTTGTAAAGCAATGTTTAAAATTTATATTAATTTGCTAATGATACAACATACTTAATAAAATTGACACCACCTTGCAGTATAGTAAAACATTCAAGATATTACTAGACATAATCAATGATGCACATAATATGCTTGTTAGAGGGGGAGGGGGAGCAGAGAGGGGGGAAGACAACTGAGGGGAGAGAGACCCCCTCACCAATTATTCACAATTTTATTTTTACTAAATTAAAAAGAAAAGTGAACATTTTTCATGATTTATATTATTTTTCTTTTTAAATTAATTCTTAAATACTTTTTAAATTAATCATTACAAAGTAATTTGTTCATGTTGTTGCAGTTGTGTTGTTGAATGATTATGAATGAATTCTAAATTTAACTATATTCTCAAAAGGAACTTTTGCTGTAATCTAAAATATTAAACTTTTTGGGATGTTCTATTGCAAATTAGAGGGTTCCTTTCTCTGTAGTTCAAGTTGTAAAAAATGTTGGAAGTTAGGTTCCAGTATAAAAACTTTTACAAAATTAATTAAAATGCGCCATTTTTTGTAATTGCAATTTTTTTGCACACAATTTTTGGGTCCCTCTTTAATACATTCTTGGGGGATTCGGCTTATCTGCATTCTTTAGCTATTCAGAATGTCCTGTTTCATCCACCAGGACAGTAACTGCACCCTCTGCTGCTGTAAGGTTTAAAAACATGTGGGGACCTGCAGAGAACATGTAAGCCACCTGTGAGCAGAGGCGTATCTAGGTACTCCATGGCATAGAATTCGCGCTCCTGTCAGGATACTTGCAATTAGTGTTATTTGTTTTAGCGGGCATACTCTAGATAGTGTCGGGGCACCCATGGCATGTGCTATCTCTGCCCTACTGTAGACACGTCTCTGTCTGTGTGCAAGGAAATATGAAGTGGACATGCAGGGAAACATACAAGACATGTATGCAAGCACTTGCGGTGCAACGTGCAGAGAACATGCTGGGAACACGCATAGGACACCTGGACCGATATGCGGGGGTAGAAATGGGATTATATTTCTTCAAGCATATTCAACAAAATGAGACCTTTTGAACCTTCTTTTAGGTGTTTGGGGATTTAGCTCTTCTGAGTACTCCCACTCCATTGCACGGGTGGTCAGAAGCGAACAGAAACTCGAAATTATGTACGATGGAATTGAAGAAATAGGTTTTTTTTTAAATCCCCAATAAAATTGAAGTTAGTATTTGATTGCCTACGCAATTTTATCTCATAGTTTAGCAATATTAGAATGTTTGCCGAAGAGTTCCCGTCCGCCCTTCGCTTTCGTGGCAGCAGGAGTTGATCTTAAGCGAGGGCAAGTTAAGGATAAGGCCCAAAATGATTTCTAATACGACCTCTCTACTCATCTAAAAGAGGTACCGCAAGTGTAAATGTAGCTTCACTTTGGCACGTTTTGTTGAACTCTTCTTTTGCTTGTAATGGTAGGATAGAGGTCAGGGCGAGTTACTATTTTGATAGCAATGCAAAAAAATCATATAATCGTTTACCGATGCAAATAAGTTTTCTGTAACTCGGGAACGAAAATGTCTAGCTTATTCAAATATTGCTAATCTCTCGCTTTTTTAAATGTTATTTTTATTTATCTGTCTAACTTTTACTCATCTTTCAACTATTTATAGTTAAAATGATGGGAAGGGATTTTCTAACTCAAGAAAATGTGATCTTCTTCCCCATTCGTCACATACAGATTTTACTGTTTTTTGACTCAATACATCAAATAAATCAATAAATCAGTAAAGCAGGCTGCTCACCAATGAGTCTGTAGCTCTCGGGTTCCCACGGCGGTGGTTCCCGGGTGGCGGCGTCGAATTCGTAATACAGCAAACTAAACGTCTCTTTGCAGGACAGCGCATTGCCGGGAAACAACGAACAGTCCCGAATGGTGAACTTTATTTCGATGTAAATGCGATTCGCTGTCCGCCTCTCCACGAACGGAGTCCATAGCCAGTTGTTGACGTTGTTGTAAGCCACGTCACAAACGACGTATGATCTCCAGTTGATTCCCTTTTCGAAATTCGTAAAGCTTTCTTCTACCCACTGAAACAAAGAAACAACCAAATCAGATTAACTGAGAATTTGATGGCGACAAAGTTAGGCCAAGAAAATGTTTAGAATTCATTGTCTACTCCTAATTGACAGCAGAGAGGCTTCAATGGAGTGAAAATTGGGATGAAATGTGTAGCACTCCACTTGGAGAATTAGGAGTGACATGGACAGAACTCGCAGCAAATGTCTCAATAAAAAAAAAGTAATATTTCGTGTTTATTAGGGTGTCATGTGGACATTATTCACCAGTCTGTAGAATATCGTTCTAATAAGTAATTGTACAGTAACACTCTTACCCATTTCTGATATGTTTCAGTTTTCCAAGAACTTTTTGAGGTATCTATTAACCGGGGATTTTCGAACGAGAAAGAATATAAATTCTCGGCTATCCGGGAGACGCCGCGTCATTGGCTGGGGTACCGACGTTTCGCCTGACATGTCGCAGGCTTCCTCAGGGCAGTGAGCCGTCGTCGTCACTGCCCTGAGGAAGTCTGCGACATGTCTGGCGAAACGTCAGCACCCCAGCCAACGACGCGGCGTCTCCCGGATAGCCGAGAATTCATGGATTCGAGCCGCGGAAGCTTACGTATACACGAGAAAGAATATAGTTTTTTGTAATTCTAGTCAAATATCGACCAGAAAATTTGGTGGTCAAAATAAAAATAAACTTTCGATCTAGATTTACATATTATTAATAATGTACTACTAATAATAATCTCGATGCATTACTATTACACATTTTCTCGTCCATAATTCGCATATATTCTATCTATTAATTCTAATTTTGTTTTTTCGATTGTTTGAGACGGGAACAAAAGAGCCCTGGAAGTTCCTTTAAACTCCACTTCACCAAGCACTGATTATTCACCTGCTGATTCACTTCCATAAGAATGTGCTCTTCAGCTTTCCTCCTCACTAGCCTTGAATTATCACTACAACTTGAGGTATCCATATAAGGTAAATAATATGATAATCAACAAAGACTCATAACTTAGAATGTACTAGCTTGCGTTAAATGTAACACAGCAAGATATTTATGGCCAGCTAAACATTTTGCAATTCGCAAAGCACGATAGTGGCAATATCGTTACCCCTGCAGCATCGTTGTCCGGGAAGTACCAGGGTTCGATTTCCTACAGTAGCGGATTTTGGGCACTAGCTACACAGCTGGATTGAATTCATGATGAATGGAATGCCTGAGCAGTATCTTATAAACGGGCCAAAGACGACTATGAGAGATCTTTCCCTTCCCATCCCTGTCCCTGTCCCCAGCTCCTCTCTCTCTCTCTCTCTCTCTCTCTCTCTCTCTCTCTCTCTCTCTCTCTCACTCACTCACTCTCGCTCACTCTCGCTCTCTCTCTCACTCACTCGCGCTCTCTCGCTCGCTCTCTCGCTTGCTGTCGCTCGCTATCGCTCTCTCTCTCTCTCTCGCTATCGCTCTCTCTCTCTCGCTATCGCTCTCTCTCTCTCGCTATCGCTCTCTCTCTCTCGCTATCGCTCGCTATCGCTCTCTCTCTCGCTTGCTGTCGCTCTCTCTCTCTCTCTCTCTCTCTCTCGCTTGCTGTCGCTCGCTATCGCTCTCTCTCTCTCGCTTGCTGTCGCTCGCTATCGCTCTCTCTCTCTCGCTTGCTGTCGCTCTCTCTCTCTCGCTTGCTGACGCTCGCTCTCTCTCGCTTGCTGTCGCTCGCTCTCTCTCGCTTGCTGTCGCTCGTTCTCTCTCGCTTGCTGTCGCTCGCTCTCTCTCGCTTGCTGTCGCTCGCTCTCTCTCGCTTGCTGTCGCTCGCTTGCTGTCGCTCGCTCTCTCTCGCTTGCTGTCGCTCTCTCTCTCTCTCTCTCTCTCTCTCTCTCTCTCTCTCTCTCTCTCTCACACACACACACACACACTACATTACTACACATTTCGGTAGACAAGTTGCGAGCTTAGAGCCTATCCCGGTTATGGCGTTACCCCACAGAAGGAAGTACCTGGACTGGAAACTCGCAAGCAGGTGTATAGGTCGGATCCGTATCTAGCTTTTCAATGGGCGAGGAACACCACCATCTCCCCGGATATAACATGACCTACCCTTACGGGACCAATGACCTCAAAAGTTGACACACTCGGAATCAACACCCATTCACTCGCAAAGCAAAAATAATACAAGCTTCTCTGGTCACGGGGTAAAAGTTGTTACGTCAAAAATCTCAGTTTGGAGGAAAAAGGGTTAGATTATTGAGCCGCTATTGATGAGTGGTATGATGCTATATTTCTCAAAGCAATTTTGGCGTGGAGGCAACATTTGAATTCGCTAGTTTTACTAAAATAAAATGTAGGTACTTAACTTGTAGTTTCAGTACTTAACCCAATTTCGCTAAAAATTGACTTGAGAACTTGTAGCCCGTGACCACAGACTTGGGTTTTTATTTCTTGACTTCACGATGGAATATCTCACGGTATTTTGCGTCTTTCTCAGTCGTGCCGCTAGATTTCGCATGATCGCCAGCACTGCTCGTTACGGTCACGATCATCCGACATCTATTGGCGCGACCGAGAAGGTCGCGAAATACCGTGAGATATTCCATCGTGAAGCCAAGAAATAAAAACCCAAGTCTGTGGTCACGGGCTATAAGTCAATTTTTAAGTCAATTTTAGGCGAATCATCGTGAAGACAAGGCCTCGCGCGCCAAGAAATAAAAACCCAAATATATATTACGAATTTCTAACGTACGTAGAAATTGAAAGAAAACTATTTAGCCTCCGGCCATGTGAGAGGCTCTGTGGTTTCGTTAGATACCCAGAAACTCGGGAAAAAATCCAAAACAATAAACAGTTTCCATTTTTGATAAAAACATAAATATTTGATTGCGTTATTCCGGCCATTCTCATACAGCGTGTACTGACTGAATTCTCATAATCAGTGCGATACTGCTGACGACATAGCTGACCTTATGTGACAGCAAAGCTCATGTAACAGGAAGAGGCTTCTCGCCATTAAATATATGCTATTCGCGGGTTGCGTTATTAAAAATCAACTTTTTTTATATCTTTGGTGTGTAAAGAACTGTTTTAATGTATACAATGTTTTTGCAGAATTCGTAAAGACAATTTGATAAAATATTTAATTTTTTGCAGTGTATTTAATTTGTTGTTTTTCTGCAGGGTGCGTGCGACTTTTTGGGAAACCATTTAATGTGGTTTTCTTCAGCAGAATGTTTGCTCCTGCAGGTCACTAATCAGAATTAATATCTACATCCTTGCATATTTGGACGGTATCGAAAAATCAAAGTTATCTACAGAAAAATTAAGTTTTCTATTTAGACTTAACGAGTTCGCGAAACAAAAATATAATATTATTTATGCAATATATTATGATCATTACTATAAAATAATATTGACTATTCAGATCACCTGCATTTATCCGTTTCAATACGAAATGGTGTTACTAGCGTTCGACTTCGTTGGATTTCCGTGGAAGCAAGCGACGTCGCCCCGAAATTTGCCGGAGATATGCGGGTGCGCGCATCGTCCCGGAATCCGCTTGGGGCGCAGCCTCCCTCTCGCCCTCGCCCTCGCAGCGCCCTCGCAGCGCCCTCGCCCTCGCCCTCGCTCCCGCCCTCGTCCTCTGCAGCGTCGTCCTCCCCTGCGCCCTCGCAGCTGCGCTGCGGTGCGGTGCGGTGCCGCGCGACTGCCTGCCAGGGAGAACCCTCGCCTGCACCCCGACTTGCACATACAATCATTTCATCTCATTTGTTTCTATGGCAACAATCCCACACGGGCTGACCCAGCGCTTTCCGCGGCGATCTACGGCGGAATCTTTCAAGGCCCGGGAAGCGGTGAAAGCTCCCAATGTAAGTTATATCCGTCGCCCGGAAAAGAGCTCTTCCGCGGAAAGCACAAGCGGATTGTAATCGCGCTGAAGTACTATTTCATTGGATAATGCATCGTCAAAGTACTTCCGATCAGAAACAAGAGTGGAAATTTAGCTCACAGACACATCAATAAGTTCGAGTCACTAGCTTCGCAAATTTTCTCCTAATTATGCAAGAACTATCACACAAAGAGCTAAATACCTCATCGATTGATCTGGCTTCGCTAAAATGAGCACAATATTTATGGTGGACGTGTTCCTCCCTTGGTGTAACCTAGCCCACACCTTTTCATACGGTTTTCAAGCTAAAACAGTATTTCCTTCGTTTAAGCTCACTCACTAATTGAACGTTTCAGTTAATAAAAATAGCATCTATCTCATGTTTTCAATTACACCACTATGAAATTTGGACAATTTAGCGAATAGAGTTGTAACACACAAAAGCGACCGAAAGACTAGTCTCGCCACGTAAAATAAGGCAAATTCAATTCAATTCAATTCAATTCAAAGATTACATACAACATAACTGACAGTTCCAAATATGTGAAAGTAAGGCAAGAAAGCGCCGTTCTACGTCTTGAAAGAATTAATTGATGATTATGTTATCTACCTTACACAAGTTAGTAACAATGATTTATTAAAATTAATTTTGTGGAGGAAAATGTCTGCGAACGTCCGGTCATTGAACTGTCATAATCATACACTTAATCAGTAACCATAACTTAAATGACGTTTATGCTTACAAAATGCGTTTAAACCCATCTCTTCCCTATCTCACACTTCAAGCAGAAAATTTAGCTCCATCCTCACTTCAATTAACCTTGACAAACAACACAAACTCGCATGCTCTCACAAGCGCAGTGCCACTAGTAGACTGTGTATAAAGTTGTAATTATTTTGCTTGCAAAACGACGTGGGTTTATTTTAAAATATTTGTCAACATTCAACGCAGTACATTGTCAAAAGGCACCACAATTTGAAGCTTTGAACAATTTGAAGCCCAAAATGTAGTACATCCTACACATGTAAAACGCATGGGATCGTCATTATCCAATTATCTTAACCGACGAATTTTCCAATTTTCCACTTTTTCACAAAAACCCACTCAAAGAGAATATATATAAGGTGTTCTAGGAATGCATA